TTGACACCTGAGGTTTTTATGATTGAATACATAATCATCCAATGAAACTGTTGTTTTATTTTTCTTTTGAGATTTGCACTTTTTAAAAAATGCAATTCCAGAGAGACTATAGAGTACACAAAGAAAAATAATTACTCTACCAGCTTGTTTTCCAGATCCTTCTTATTATTTTTAAGATTCCATTCTGATACTTACATTGTTTCTACCAAATACAACTGTTGAGCACTTGCTGGAGGGGAAAAAAAAAAAAGATGCCATTTTGGAAGTTACTCTGGAGGAGGAAGTTCAAAAAAATAACTTTCTAATTCATCTAGTTGTGAGACCATAATTCCTTTATTAGTGAAAAGGAGGGAAAGACAGACACACCCCTGGACTCAGAAGGTTCTGCCTGCCTCACCAAGGTCTAGAAGGTCACTTTCTGTCTTCTTTCCCTTCCATTCTTCTTTCTTCAAATAATTGTCCATGAAACTATGTGCAGTTGAAGCCTGATGGTCTTCTCCCTTACCACCTCCCCAAGTGAAAATGGGCCTTGTGGAATTTGTGAGAAGCCCTTCCCCAAGTCTGTTGTTTTCCTTGAGTCCCAGAGCTTAGATTTCAGGAAAAGAAACTATGCAGTAGAAATAGGATTGGTGTGGCCCTGGGACGGAGCTACACAATTTGCATCTCAAACTCTGGAAGACGATCACTGTAAACCCTTGAATGAGGCAGGGGCATGGCAGGACACTATGAGAATAGCTTCCGTTCAACTGAGGGGTTGAAAATCTGTGTTTCTCACCTAATGAGTTTTAAAAGGAATTTCGTTATTTGCCATAAATGTCAGTGTGATCAGATGATGCTATGAACTTTAAAAAACGTTCATAAAATGGGAAGAACTATAAGAAGTAAACAATTTATGAGTCATAAATAAAGAAACACAAATGAAGTATTGGGCAAAGTGCTAGGTTTTACAGCCCAATAATGATAACAGGAAACTGGCCAGCACGTTCCCAACCTCCTTTGGGAGAATGTTCTTTGCCATGCCTGGAATTCTTTTTAAAATATGGAGGCAAAAACTTGTTCCAAAAGCAACACAGACTTTTACAGCACTCATCTATTTCTATTTAAATAATAATATTTTAATTAAGTAAAGATATACATACATTCATTAAATTTAGGATTTATATCAAAATATACATATTGTACTTAGAAAAATTGAATGAAAATTGCATTAAATTTAATTGACATTAAATTTAATTAAAGTCAATTGACTGAAATAAGTGTTTGCTGTTAAGAATAAATTTCATAATTTACCCATTGCATAGAATGTTGCAATACCACTTGTCAGTGGCCATGTGGCTGGTACCCAGCTCAGGTGAGGACTGCCTGGCTTCTGAGGTCAACCTTGATTCTGGCTTTTCTTCTGAGGAAAGGAAAATAGTAGGAAATGTACAGAAGACAGGAAATTTCAGGTCTCAGATATCAAGTAAGTCCACATGAGCTTACATAACAGTACTCCCCATGGAAAGCAATTATATTTTCTGAGATGCCTTTTTAAAAATTCCTACCAATACCTAATGTTGGATTATAATATGACTTAAGCTTCACTTACCTTTATTTATATATCTCTGGATGTCAACATGTGTTACTTGCCCTTTTTTCAATTTTCTACAATGACTTTTGCATACATTCTTAAACCACTTTACTGGATATTATTTTCAGCATAGGTATAGAGCAAGCAATAGTCAACCAATCATCAACTATGTATTTGTGTGCCAAATGTCCACCACTTCTGTGCCACAGAACTAGAAATTAGGAAAACAAAATCAAGTCAAGCTTTTAGAGAATAATGTGACTTGAGCTGCAGATGACTGGAAGTGAAAAGACAAAAGAAAATTGGGAGGTGACTGTGAGGTACTGTGCAGGACTTTTAGCATACTACAAACATTAACTCATTTAATCTGTCATAAAAGGAAAACATTGCTGTATCCATTTTCCAGTTGAAGACATGAGGACCAGAATGATTAAATCACTGTCAAGTCCTTCCTTGCAAATCCTAAATTCCAGATTCTCGTCATCTCGAACCTTATTTATCTCAATAGCCTTCTAACAATCTGTCAGTCCAATAGAGTAACCATTTCTTAGCACTTCATACAAAGTCCTTCATCTGATTCTGTCTGGTGATCTATAATCCCCACTGTCATTCTTACACACAGACTGTCATTCCAAACAGATCTCACAAACATGTAGTCACAAATATGCTCATCTTCCTTACGTGTGTGATTCCTGCTGCTCTTAATGGACTTCACTACATTGTAAACAATGCTCAGGGTTTATCTAAAAACGTTTCTCCTTTACGAAGCCACGTTCTCCCTTGCACATCCAGCACAGATATGTGCTTTCTCAACGGTTTCCACCTCCATCTCCAGTATCTGCCACGTGGACTCGTAATCACTTTGTCTCTCCTAGGAGTGAGAGCGCCTCCCTTGAAGGCAGTTTCTTCATTACATTCACCTTAATATCCCTTGTGCCAAAGACAGCATCTGATTAGCATCTGGTACATGGTAGATACTCAGGAAATATTTAGTGTAATAGTGAATGATCAAGGCATGAGCTAAGATAATTTTAAAATGATTTAAGTAAGACTAAATTAGAAGAGGAAACTGAGATTTCAAACATGAACAATTTAGTCTGTGCTCTAGGAAGATCACTCTTACTCATTCTCCAACATAAAAACAGCTTTTGGTTTTGTCTTTTTCTCTTACTCATTAAGCAGGAAGTAACTGGAAATAATCATGAATTCTTATATTTTTCCTAAAATCTTCTCCAAAGCTGACCAAAGAGGAACTTGAATAGTGTCTCTCAGATGTTGAGACTTACATAAACTCTGCCCATGTTTTTCACGTTCAGTGAGAGTTCTGTACATATTTAATATGCCGTGGCTTTGATACACAGTGGGTGTAAGTTAACGTCTTTTAAGTGGAGAAAATGACAAATATTTCTCTTTCACTTACTTAGATACAACTGTTGCAATAAATGGCTTGGAGCCTCCTCATGCTGTGAAGTCTCTAAAATTCCCTGCTCCCCATTCTAAGCATTTACCCAGGTTTCACGGACTTAATGAAATTTTTTTAGGAGAAGCTTTGCTAGCTTTTCATCACAAGATGTTAGGTTTTTTGGATGCGGTGTGCCTGTATGAAGATTGGCTTTTATGTGCCTAGTAGGAAATTAAACAAGACATTCACCACTTTTGAGTTTCTCGGAACCACAGTTTGATGCCTACATTGCTCACATTTTTAAATGAGTTACATTCCCAACTGCTGAAAAGTGAGGAGTTCCCTGGGGACAAGAGGGGGAAATTGCAAGTTTCTTCATGAGCTCCCCAGGGATGATTTCCTTTACTATGGTCAGCCTAGAATAAACTGATCACAGAAAATAAACTATTTCGTTTTGATTATGGGTATTTTCACCCATTTCCCTGGGAGTCTTACCAATCTAGGTAAGTCTCCTCTCTGGCAAGGTTAACCAGGGACCAAAGAATCCAGATGCTGCTAAGAGGCTGCTAACTTTCTCTTAAGTCAAGGATCAACACAGAAATTCCAGTTAGTTTTTCCTTAGGATCTCCTAGGCAGTCATTTCTCATTTGCAAGCATGAGATAGAAGAAAGTCCTATTAAAGGGTAATCAACTCCACTGTACACTACTGTATCTATGACATAGCATTCAGAATATATGGACAACAATCAAATCCTAGCCATTTCCAGTCTTGTAATTCCTCACAGTCTCTCCCTGATACTTTTCTGCTGCTAATTCTAGTGCGGAATTAATGATATTTCCTGAAGGTTAATCCTTCCCTTCTGAGTGTCATGGACCCTACAGCACCGTCTCATTGTTGTCATCTACTCAGCATAAAATATGCAGTCAATATTTTGTCGCAATAATTTTCCTCCAGCCACTCCCTTTCCTGATTATTTGTGAAAATCTATAGCTCCACATTATTTTTATTTTAGCATAGGAACCTCAAAGAGTTTCTCCTTAATGGATCAATGTATTTGACTCCTAAACAGACAGGCATTAGCATCAGAACAAAATTACGAGCATTAGAACAAAATTATCCCGACCACACTTGGCGACCCTAACTAACCTCATATGACATAAATCAGTCCATAGAACCAGGTTTGAGCCCATTTATGTCTCTCCCTGAGGTTCCCAGGGTGAAAACCTGTCTCTTCAGAGTTCAGCCTCTACACTGGGTACCAGGGGACAGTACTGCAGGTCTAGATAACACATCTCTTTATCCAGAGTTTGGCACCACACCCAGAAAGCCTTCCATTTACTATCCAGACATTCTGGAGGGGATTCTCAAAATAACTATGTCTCATGGCCAATGTCAATTAAGGGTGAAATCTGTCCAGACTACTCTTACAGAAGAATTCCTTCAGAGCAGACACACAGTGAAGATAAGACCACTGATCCTACTCTACACTCCAGCCAGGCAATGTTCATTTCTAAGCCAGCTCTCACTCCAGGCATTGGCAGGCCTTCGTATTGCAGAGGACCATTATTCTTGCAGGAGAATAACTCATCTCATTTTAAAATTTCTTTTATTATTCTTTTATTAATTTTTTGCCCTTTTAAAACACTTCATGTATCTCTAAATTGTATTCATTTAGACAAAGTGCTTGAAGACAAAGGCCTTGTCCTCTGTGTCCTGCCCACAGTGCCCAGCACTGCGGTGAATTTGCAATATAGATTGATGACAATGATATTCTCCTCAGGTAGAATTGAGACTCTTTTCGGGGTTTGTTTCTTAGAAGTTTTTTTTTTGTTTTTTTTGTTTTTTTTAACAAACAATGTATCATTCCTATGTTTAAAATAAACATTTCCAGGCCAACAGTGATAATCACAAATTCCAAATCAGTGTCAAACAACATTTATGTATATGCATTGCTTGTTTACTTTTCTCATAATTTACATCTGAATTACTAGAGGTTATTTTTGAGACAGTAAAACATAAGACTGTATGTACCCAAACTTGATGCCTATCATTAATATTTGGTGACACTCTTTGAAAAGTTTCCAAGTTTGCATCATGTTGTAATTAGGCTCAAGTTCAATCCCAGAATAACTTTCTGTTCACAAAAGAAGCAGAAAATGTCTCCCCTTTTATAGCCTGACACCTGGGTTCACCAAACATTCCATCTGTAATCAAATATGTCTTCTCCCCAGTTCTGGCCATAGCAATCCATGCCTAGGTGACTGTGTGTAGAGTTTAGAATACTAGTTTTCTGTAACTGCTGTAACAAATCAGTACACACTTGGTGGCTTAAAACATAGACCGGTGGCTTAAAACATAGACCAGAAAACTATCTTTTCTCAGTTTGGAGACTAGAAGTCCACAATCAGTACCTCCGGGTTGAAATGAAAGTATCCATACGTCTTCCGGAGGCTCTCAGGGAGAATCCATGTCTTGCCTCTTCTGGCCCCTGGCAGCTGCTGGCAGGCTCTGCCTCCTCTTCACATGGCCTCTTCTGTGTGTCAAATACCCCCCGCCTCTCTCTTCTAAGGAGGCTAGAAAATAGCATTCATGCCTTCCTGCATAATCCAAGATCATCTTCCTATTTCAAGATCTTAACTTCATTATATTTGCAAAGACCGTTTTTCCAAAGACAGTAACATTTACAGGCTCAAGGCATCAGGACCCAAAAACCTTGGGAACATCACTCGACCTACCACAAAAAAAGAGTAAAAACTGAGAGAGGTGACTTACAACAATATCCTTGGAACATTGCAACATTGGCTGCAAAAGTGATAGATGTGTCTGTAATAACAGGAGACAATGCCTGTGATTTGAGCAGCAACCATTCTGGCATCGGCCGGAGAGATCTGGATATCAAACAAGCGAAGACTCAGAACAACTCTCAGCTGGCATCAGCAACTCCATTTGGACAGCAGCAGCCATCATTAGACTGGGCATTGGCAATTGTGCCTCTTTTGTTGGACAGTGGCGAAGGCATAACTGGCAGATATCAGTGACCAACTTCTGATTCTGACTTCAGAATCAAAAGCAGATGCTACAGTGATAATTCAGAGATAACAATGAGAAATGATAAAGTCAAAGTGGAAAATGAAAGGGGTAACTTTAAGAGTACTGAAGGGACCTTCTGCAGTCACATGCCCTGAAGATGTTCCCAAATCATTTGAAAAGGTTTTGCAGGAACCTAGAATTCCAGCAGAATAGAGAGACGAGCCCCCAAACCACTCTTTGATGCCATGTTGACCCCACAGGCTGGTTCACATTGAGAAATACAAGGTACATAAGGGCCTTCCTGCTCCTTAGTGTTCATATAGTTCATTTTCAACGTTCATTTTCAAGTCTCTATGGAACCTTGTTCTTAGGATTTCTTTGCGGATCGTTCACATCCATGATGTCTTTAGCATAAAGAACTTAGACGCATTCGCTGTGCTGCTATGCTTTAAATTGAGAACGTTGCTCCATGAGCAACTCATTGGTTTGGCGCCCACAACCCTACATGTGAGGATGTTTTAGATCCATTCAGTTTTCACAGAAGGAATTTCGAGAGACTGCTCCACGCACTGTCAGTCTGTCACTCCATTCAGCTGGGGTTCTCAGGGCAGCGTACTGCGGATGGCGTGCCTGCCCTCAGATGTGGGCTTCTGCGAGCTGGAGGTTCTATCCTTTCTCGCTCATCCTGGATACCCATGACTCTGATCATCGACAGAGCGCCCCTCATAACTTAGTCATTAATTCTATATTCTTGAAGAGTTTATATATGCTCTATAATAAAAAGTTATCTCTTCTGTACATTTTAAGGCCTTTCATATGGTATGATATCCTCTGCACAAAAAGAAATCCAATCCAAGGGTAAGATCATTGCATTTAAGTTTTGTCCACAGTGCCTTCCTTGCATATGTAAGGTGCTCAATAAATATTTTAAGAATAAGCAATTGAATATATATATATGTAGTTATGCATATTACCAATAAATAGGTAAGGCTCTGGAATCAGAAAACCTTATATTCAGTTTTTAGTGCCTCCCAAGATAGAAATATTTTACACTTTGAGCAAAATTTTAGAACTGTTTTATCTCAACCCTCACCACAAATAATCTTGGGTAATAACATAAACTTCCTTTACATAAATTGTTAAACTCTTCTTTGTAAATCTTATTTTCTTAATGGAGAAATGCCTCTCTATTTTATTTTATTTTTTTCTCACTGGAACTGATGCCAAGAGAAACAGATCAAATGTGACTGGTCAGGAATGAAGCTGGGTAGCCAAGCGTAGAATGCTAAAACCAAGTCGCGAACTAATTTGGACAGGTATGGCAAGGGGCCAGCTACTCAAAGAAGAGAAATAAAAGTATAAGTGAGCTAATGTAAAAGGCAGAACTCAGGTCAAGATTAATAAAAGAGAACAATACAGTTGGGATCACTGTGGGACTGAGATTTGGAGTTAAGGAATTCTAGTGTCAAGACCTTAACTGACATTTGGGTGTCTCATCTTCACCAAAGAAGCAGGACTGCCTTGATAAGTACAGCATTCCTGGTTTTAAAATGTAGGCACTCACAGCCAGCTTGTGGTATTACCCACTTCCTGCTTATGTATGACTGCATACTTCGACTGCAATAAATGTAAGCTTTACTACTGGCATTTAGCAAACAGGACCAACTGACGACATTTTCTCTAGAGGACGTTGAATCCATAGAAAAACACATCCAATCATTTCACTTTCATCCTATAATTTTATAGAAGATGATAGATAGATAGATAGATAGATAGATAGATAGATAGATAGATAGATAAGCTGAATGAAATCAAATGTTTTGGTCCCACCACTGCCTGAAAAGCCAGGATGGATAAGCTGAATGAAATCAAATGTTTGGTCTCCCCACTGCCTGAAAAGCCAGGATGTCAAGGTCTTGTATGTTCCTGTGGGAGGACTTTGGGTTAATGATATAAGAAATGGAGTGATGTCCTCTCAGCCCTTGTATCATGTGTCCCTTCAAAACCAAACAACTGCCTTTTGTGGAAGAGCCTTCAAGAAGCCACAGGCTTATGTCTCTAAAGTGTAACATGTCTCTAAAGGGTGTTCTAAAGTGCTCAGTAGAAAGAGTTATTTGGCTTTCAAACTTGTAGGGGCAACTAGGCTGAATGTTGCTGTCACTTAAAGAGTAATACAGAAATGTAGTCAGTGAGCTGATGATCCTGGAATTTCAACAGGTAATAATCCATTGGGTTTCAAAAGAGCTGAAAGACGTGTTTTAAGATAGAAGGTCTTAACACATATGAAGATAAGAAACACATATGGCATGTGGCAAAATGCAAATTCCACATGCAAATTATGTTATAAAAACTACAGTCTTCCTAGTGGTGCATTTTAGTGAAGAAAAGGAGTATGATGTTATTTGTCCTATAACTCTTGATGTGGGCAAGCCATATTAACTTGGTTGGGTTAAATTTTACCAGTTATGGTATACAGTAAATCTCTTGGTTTATTTCAAAAGAGTATTACGTTAATAAATACAACAGTAAATGCTTTGATTTCTTTAGAAAAAAAGACATACTTAACTAAATTCAAGTTAATCATAATACTTGTTACAAAACAGAATGCCCTGAATTGAGTATACAGTTCCTGATCTCAGAGATTTAAACGCTAGTGTTGCAGGACATATTCTTGCCTACCCATTTATATAGTACTTTCTAGTGAAAAACAGAAACCCTTAATACATGTATTTTAATATTTTTATAAAATTATTTGATCCCAGAATTTACCTGTAAGTTAGGCAGAACATTGCAAGCAGAAGCTTCATTTTGCCTCAAGGAAACAAGTTTGGTGAGGATTGAAGAATCAGATTTTATTAGCATCACCGCATGAAATTTTGTATTTTCTTTGTGCTATAGATAGATAAATCATTATCTTAAAGCATGATGATCTGTTTTCTCAATGAAATTCCAATGGACATAAATAAAGGTTCTTCTTAAATATTTTAATTTTGTATAGATACATGCTATCCATTATATATTTGCTAAAAATTATATGCCATACAATTTACACTTTGAAACTACTCACACTACCTTAAGAAACCCTTTTCTTTAAAATATTTACACTTGACCATTGTTTCAAAATGACCATGATATTAGCATGTTCAATTAAATCACAGTTGTCTGTTAGCTGTTGTGTTTACAACAGCTAGGTTTGAATTTGAAGCCACTCAGTACCAGCAAAACTGACATAGCTTTCTACAGTGCACATATTATATTTCCAGTGGAGCATCTTGGACTGACATGGCCATTCAACTTGAAATATACCAAGATTAAGGCAGCCAAGCATACCAGCAGAGGGTCATGGCAGGGTGTTAAGTGGAATCCCCTGCTACGCAAAGCTATCAGGCACCAAGCCAGGGAATTCCTTATAGTCCACCTGCAGGGCACACATCACCCTAATGGGTGGAAAATTAATGTGTTTTTAATTCCAGTATTCTTTAAAGTCTGAAGATATCATTTTACCCAATGTGGAAAGCTAGGAAGTCATAGGAAAAACAAAAACAAAAAAACTCATGAATTAGCAGCTGACTATAGGCTTGATCAATGGTACTTCTGCCCTGACACTGAGTAATGGTTTGAGGTAAGACACCATACATTTTTCACGTACTCTACAGTAAAGCAGAATCAAATTACTTGCTTTATGTGTTTAATTGCAATAGGTTTTCTGTGGCCAAAATTTAGACTATTGAGCTTAGTTGATTTCTCTTTAAGAACTTAAGTATTTTCCACTTAGCTTGGCACCCAAGACTTTCCACCAACCTGGTCTCTCTGTATTGACTTTCTACTACAACTCCAAGTGGACCTGAACTTCCTGGAAAAGCATGTCTTTGTCCTTGTGCAATGTCCTCCTTTACTCAAAAAGCTTTCATCGGCCCAGGATGCCTTTCCGTCTCTCCCTAACGAATCTTAATTCAATTAGACACACATGTATTGATCCCCAGACCCATTACGGGCTGTGACTCATAGGTAATACACATTTGTGTTTGTAAATAAATGATGAAATGGTCATGTACAAATGTTTTCTTAAGTGCTGTGGGGCATAGAAAGATACAAAGATATGATCTTTAACCTTAAGGGAATCAAAAGCTAGATAGGGAGACAATAGTGTAAAGAGCCAACCATTAAAAACACATAAAATAAGTTTCATAAAGATGAAGGTGACACAGGAGTCTAGACTAAAAAGAATGAGTATGAGTTCAGGAAAGGCTTTCTAAGAAGGTGTTACTTAAGTTCTGGGCATTCATGTTTAAGTATAGGAAAAGGCATGTCAGGATTCAGGAAAAATCTGAGTCATGCTCTATGGTATGAAAGTGTGAGGCATGTATTGAGAATATTCAAGAGCCAGTTGACTGCCACTCCTTCCTCCAAGCTCATAAAAAATCCCACTTCATCAGGAAACTGTTCTTAAAGTCCACACTTACCGCTCTTGCTCCCTCATTCTCAAAGTGTCTTATTTATTTAGAGGTAGATATATTGGTCAGGTCAGGCAAGCTAAGCTTCAGTAACACATCAACTCTTAAATTTCAATGGCTTCACCCAATGAAGATTTGTTTCTCACTTAGGCTCCAAGGGTATCTTAGGCTGGCAGGAGATCAACTGCACATCGTCTTCACTGACTCCCAAGGGCATTGTGGTGTCCTCTCCTGGGTCCTCTGTATTTATCCAGCTGCAAACAAAAACAGGATGAAGGGAAGAAACTTGGAAGTGATGACCTTACTTTTCCCCAAGCTTTATGACTACAACTAGCCACGCAGCCAGTGGAGATGTACAGGGCCTGGGAAAGAGAATATTCCTATGGACCTAGGAAGAATCTGGAAACATTTTAGGAACATACAATATTTTGTCTGTCATATCCAGTAAATAATTAACAGGGAACTGGTGACATACCCAGCATATTTGACACCAACATAGATCACTTCTTAACACCTCTTCCTCAATATCTCATAATTTCAGTGGTCATCAAGACATAATTTATATTATAAAATAATGGTCAGAAAAGAAATGCAGTAAGTGCTTTTTTATAATATTCCATATAGATGTTATTAATTATACATTTAAAATAGCAAATGTATTGATTTACAAAGGGAAAAAAGCCACAACTATTATTTTAATAGTTTTTGTATCTTCCTAAAAGGTTGAAGTTTGATTCTTTGGATAAAGTAATAATACGTAATACTCTCGGGAAAATAATTACCCCATAACTAGTAAAAGGATTTAAATAAAACTAAGACATCAGCAAAGGGTACAATTTAGACAAATACTAAATCAGATCGTGAATGAAGTCTTTCATTTTCTTAACTGATTCTTTAGTTTCAACATGAAATAAAGATAATATAAAAAGGAAACATTTTGATGTTCAAGATACTGAATTTTATGAAAATATTTCAGGCATGAACTAAAATTCGTACTTTCCAACATGTATACCATGGAATACTATGCAACCATAAAAAAGAATGAGATCATGTCCTTTGCAGGGACATGGATGAAGCAGGAAGCCATTGTCCTCGGCAAACTAACACAGAAACAGAAAACCAAACACCTCATGTTCTCACTCATAAGTGGGAGTTGAACAATGAGAACACATGGACACAGGGAGGGGAATATCACACACTGTGGCCTGTTGGGGGGTGGGAGGCAAGGAGAGGGAGAGCATTAGGAGAAATACCTAATACATGTAGGGCTTAAAACCTAAATGACGGGTTGATAGGTACAGCACACCACCATGGCACATGTATTCTTCCGTAACAATCCTGCACATGTATCCCAGGACTTAAAGTAAAATAAAAATAAAAATAATAACATTTTGTACTTTCCAAACAAAAATATTTTAGAAAGTGCCTTGCATGATGCGTTCTGTTTCACCGTAAGTTTTAAAAAAAAACATATAAAAACTGAGTGGTCACATAAAATAGAAGAACTGAAGCAACCGAACTCCTATTTTTGTAGCCATTATAATCATTGTGCTAGCACTGTTTATTTCAAATACATCATTTAAATGTAGAAATACATAGTGCTATTTGGAGACTTCAACTGTGCCCAATTTCAAACTATTATGAACTAATCTAAAACACAAGCACATAGCTGAGTCCCGTCGAAACAGAAACTATGCAATAGTGAATTCTCTAATTTAATTTTCAAGTAGGAAACAGGTTTTATTGAAGCGTAATGAGTAATTCTTCTAATTTAAAGGATACACCTGTAGTATAAAAACTCGACTCTGATTATAGTAAGTTTAGAACTGAAACCAAAAGTTCTCTCCCTTCCCTGAGAGGAGTATTTAATCATTGACACTGTTTAAAATTGCCAGGCAATGGTGATAACAAAAAGCGGATCAACTTTTAGTTTGTTTTATCACTACCTTGAAATTTTCTAGACAATTACTGCTTCTAAATACTCTAAAGTCTCCAGGTTGTATTGCTCCCACCGCCTTGCCTCTGGAACCTCACTGCTTTTCACTACGGCAGTGACCTTACCTAGCTAGACTGGAAATCCAATACGATATTAAGGGATATAATTAATTCCAGTTGCGTGTTAATATGTGTACCTTGTGATTGTGGTCAGATCCAATCTCTAGCAGTCAATGGACAAAAATGACTGTCCAGAAAAACAAATATTCAAAGGACACTAATCAATGTAGCTGTTTAAAAAGCCAATTTACACCATCGCTAACTAAATTTTTATTTTACCTTCGTATATGATGATCTTACATACGGGGGCTGCAACAGCCAATCAAGAGCCCAGGTCTCTCGTCCTCATTGATCCTCAGTCTCATGGCGGAGATAGATACTCAACACGTGGCGCAGCAATTAACATACAGTTGCAGATGAGAAGTGCAGCCACGGAAACAAGAGTCTGACCTGTTTGAATTAAGCTCTAATGGAAGTCTTTTCCTGAAGGTAAATGTAACCTTTAGTTCCAAGAATAAAGTTAGCCGGTTAAGGAGGTGGGAAAACATTCCAGGCATTTAGGAAGACCACAGTTATGAAAAGGGTTCAGTCCCCTGGGGAGCTAAAGCAAATTCAATATGGATTTAGCACCATGTGTGAGTGGGCATGGGCTGCAGGGAGAGATGAGGCTGTCCAGTTAGCAGAGGAATGAGTTCAGAGCATCTTCCCGAACAGTAAGGTCCTTGGATTTTGTCCTAAGTATAACAGATGTCACTGAAGAGTTTTACACAAACAAGTGACATGACAAATGTATATTTTTCCTATTTGGACTGTTACACGGAGCCTGGATTGAAAAGGACGAAGAGAAGAAGCAGGCAGAAGAGAACAGCTGGGCTATTGCTATAATTGGAGGTGTGAGAAAGAGAAGGTCAAGAACTCCTCCCAGTTTTCTGGCAAAAACAAGTTAAAAACATTAAAAAAAATAAAATTAATTAAATAAAAGCAAATAGACGTGCCAACGACAAAGTCGGAGAGTCCTAGAAGGAGAAGCTCGTGAGGGAGTAGGACGGTCAAGGGTTTTATTTAATTGTATTAAGAATGGAGATTTCGCTGAGCCATCCCGCACAGATATCTAGTCAGTTGGAAACATAAATCTAGGTGAAGAACAGAGTTCTGTGCCAGACATAATTATTCAAGAACCATTCTTAAATGAAATGATTATACTAGAAAAGATGTATCAATTACTTTTCATACAAAACAAAATGCATATTTTGGCATTCTGATTATATTTTTTGTATCAAAAATATAGTATATAGCAATTAATTTTTACAACAAGAACAATTTATCTAAGAGTTAGTAAGCCCTTTAAAGCAAATAAAAAGCATTAACGTTAGAACATTTCAAGTACATTTTTAAATAAAAGAAATCTATAAACTTGTACTTTAAATATACCACTTACAACAACATCATGTCTATATTTGAATAAAACTATGTCCACATACAATTGAAGAAGAAATATCAGGCAAATTAGAGAAGAAACCAATGGAAGCTATCAAGGATATGCAAAATAATAGCAATGACTGCAAAGGAAAATTATTTACTAATAAAATAAAATTTATAATATCAAAAAGCTAAAATATTTTGCAATTTTGATTTTTGTGTCAGCCTTTTTCACTTAATAACTTTATGAAAATATATATTTTAAAACACAAGAACCAGATTTTTGAATTATAACAAAATGTTTATTTTGTGTTAAAGATAATATAATTTTATATTATTTTAAAAAATCAGGACAAAAAGATATATGTAGGCTATAAATATTAATATTACATAATTTGTATGATTAAACTATTAAATAATAAAAAGATTAGGTTGAAATATAAACTGTCCTTCACAAAGTGAATAACTGAAAATATCATGAGCTATAGTTTGACTTTCAAGCTATAATATCATTTAATATTTCTGTCTGATAGTTTAATCATGTTCATTCATGAGCCATTTTTAACTATTTAAAATATAAATATGGTGAATATTGACAAATCCCTCTTTAAAGTTTTGCAAGGAGGTCATGAAATCTAGAATGAAATAAATTAACTTAGTAAATGATCATTTATATTATAATATATGATTCATTCAGTGTGTTATCTCATTAGAAAATGTATAGTTCGATGTTCTGTGCAAAACTTTAATGAACGTGGTACATTAATAGAGCATTTCTATCAATACTTGAAAATGTATCTGGTGTGTTGCTTCAAATAATTTTTCTCTTTGATATTCAATGCATCAATGTGTGCTTTTGGCATGTATTAATAGATGTAAGCAAAGAGATTCTAGTCTACAAAATCAAGCTGTAAATAAACAGAAAAAATATAACAATACATATTTCAAGACTCTATGGCCATGCTGTATATACATTTATCACCAGTGCAAAATTTTTAAGATTGTTATTGTCAATTGCTGAAATAAAATCCATACCATTTAAGTGTTTAGATCAGTTTTGAGAAGCTCTGGGGAGTATATAACGTATTTTCAGTGGCACCCAGGTATGGCGAGCTTAACAGATTCATTCCACATTCTTAACTCTCATGTCTGTTCCTCTTACAACTATATCGTCTGAGAGCTTTTGTATTATAGGTGCCATTCTGCTTTTTCTTTTGGACTTCTCCTTTTCTCACTGCACTTTTTCAGTTTACAGAGAAACTGGGAACTTTCACCCATAGCAAGTGTGCATACCTGCCTTTCTGTGTGTCTGTCCATTGCCACGAGAAGAGGATGGCCAGGCCACTGATATAAGGGGATGGATAGAGACAAAGAAAGCAGAGCCTCCAAGTTGTCCTAGCCTTTGGTGGAGTAAAGCAACTATCTACAAAACTTAGGTGACTTAGGACCCTGAACCAATACACACCAAAACTAACGCCCATTATTTAACTGAGGGCCCTGCCCCTGGTTTGAGCGTCTCGTGTGTTGGTCCCAAGCAAACAAAAGTGAGCAATTTGTTTCCTATTAAATCTTAGTTAAATGAAAGGTATTGAAAAGAAAATAAAAGTTGAAGTAGTTTTGTAACTGTTAGACTCATGTAAATACAATGAAAAACAAGCTACAAGATAAATAAAAGCAAGCAGTTCCTTATATAATTAAAAAAATGGACTAGCTGAGTGCCTGTAATCCCAACACTTCAAGAGATCAAAGCAGAGGATCACTTGAGCCCAGGAGTTTGAGACCAGCCTAGGCCATATAGTGAGACTTTGTCTCTATAAAAAGTTTAAAAATTAGCTGGGTGTGGTGGCTTACACCTGTAGTCCTAGCTCCTCAGGAGGCTGGCATGTATCTCTTGAATCCAGGTGGCTGAGGCTGCAGTGAGATGTGAGATGTGATCACACCACTGCACTACAGCCTGGGTGACAGAGCAAGCCCCTGAGGAAAAAAAAAAAAAAAAAGACAAGACAAAATAAAAGAAAAATAGACAAATGACCATTTTGCTGAGATTGCTTTAGGAAAATTGCATGCCACTCTCTGGTGCCTGTGTGTCTCTTCCTCACCGCTGA